CGGCGCCACCGCCGGCCACGTCCCAAATCTTCCTTCTCCCGAGAGGCTGAACGCGCGGCGCGGACGGACAGCCCCAGGGCAGCGGCCGAGAGCGCTGCCCGCCGCTTGCGGGCGCTCCTGCAGCACCTCCCCGAGCGGACAGGCGGACACCTACGACGACAGAGCCAAGGGACGTGCAGCGAAACCGGAGCCCCGCGCTCTATCGAGGCACGTGCGGCACAGCGCGCTTTGCCGTAGGGCTACACACGGCAGCGAATACAAAGCCACCTCTGATTTTTCTTTTTTTCGCCCCCCCCCCAACCCGTCTGTGCCGAACGCGAACCGTGACTTGGAGGACGCCCAGGACTGTCCGGGGAGCGGCTTTGCGAGGGAGAGGGGTGCTCCTTACCGAGCCGGTGACCACCGTAACCATCGGGCCTCGGCTGTCCCTAAGAAAATTGCTGGGGAAGCGCTTTAAAAAAAAAAAAATCACTGCAAATAATTCTGTATTTAAAAATTACTCGATCTGTTGATGCTTATATACAAGAGTCAGTTCTTGTGCTATAAATGTTATGATTCATTGCTTCGTTTCTCTTTTTTCTTTTCCTTTTTTTGAAAAATACACTAAGAGACAAGAGCTGTTTTGCTATTTTCTAATGAAGACACTACTCACGCTTAAATATCCAGTATTTATCATAGTAACAAATCCAAACAGTAAAGTGCACCCATTTACAGAGAGAACAGATGGTAAACCATTAGTGCAAGAACCCTGTGAAAACGTGACACATGGTAGCGTGAAAAAAACCTGCACGCCGCAGTAGTTAAGCGTTGCTTTCATCTCGGTGTTTGCATTAAAGTGTCCCCCCCCCCGAACGTCTTTGCAAACCCAAAGTCGTACGCGGAAGTGCTGCTAGGGGACACTGCTGCAGGGCAGCACCGCAACGGCGGGGCAGCAAACAGCAAAGCAAAGCACGGGCAGTTCTTACAGCGGCGCTCTCCTCGACACGGCTCGTCCTCCCTGCGTCTACGCCTCGTGGCCGTAGCCCGTCTCGCTTAACCGTATAAAACAGGACCGGGGCTGAATTTGGTTACTTTTGCCTTTCCAAGAAGCAACGAAAGGCAGAAAGCCACTCGCTCGTTCGGGAAAGCTCGGGGACGGGAGGCTTTGAACGAAACCATCGCTGCTACTCGGGACCCACGGATACGCACCGGCTAGCTAGGTGCACCCTACACGGCGGGAAAGACATCAAGTTATTCCTTACGAAGCAGAACACGCTACTTAAAAATAAGAGAGGAACCAAAAAAAAAAACCCCCCATCGCATCCCTTCCAAGGAGAGAAATAGCGCATGCGCCTGCCTGGTTCCTCGCAGCCGCGGAGGCTCCCAGTTTACAACCGGCTTTACAGGTCCCTGTAATAAAGCAAAGGGTCAGAGCCGAGATGCACCTCGAGAAAGAAAAACGTCGACCCCAATACAAATACCGGCTTGGACAAATATAATAAAGAGCTAAAACAGCACAAGAGTCTCCAAAGCCCGTAGAGGCAAAACCACCCCCCCTCCCCACCCAAGAACACTACCAACGCGTGTCTATGAGACACAAGCCTCAGTCGTCCCGAGGTTACGCACGTCCTGGTTTGGTCGGAGCAAATTAGGCAGCAAAATCGCGACGAGATGCGCCGTCCCACACGCCAAAAAAAAAAAAAAAAAAAAAACAACCAAAACAACCAGCTCAATCAAAGCTAGGGTTTGCTTATAGAGTTTCAGGCCAAATCCTTAGCTGGTGTAAATCGATGTAGCTGCACTGAAGTCACACGGGGGAGATGCTCATTTACACTAGCTGAGGCTGGGCCCTTCGATTTGGTTCAGTAAGTCTTTCGATCTCCGACTAGATTCACATAGCCCTTTGGAAACACCAAAAAATATCACTCCTCCTGCTCAGGACTAAAAACCCTTGTGTTCTTAAGGGTGGATATGAATGAGATTCAGCATTGGGCAACAGGCACTATTTTGCTTTAAAACAAGCTACAGGATTAACGCTCTCCCCCCGTTCGTCCGACCGTTTGCCCTCAGCAACGGAAAAAGGCAGATTACAGAACGCCACCCAATACTAAGCGGAGAATCTGTAAAGAAAGTCCCCGCCACCCCCACAAAATCCCAGAGAATAATGGAAAAATTGCGTCAAAAGGCTTTTTAGAAGCGTCCCCTGCTTTTCACGCTGTCTTGATGTGATTTGCATTTGATTAAAAAGAGGAAAAAAAAAAAAAAAAAAAAAACCCCCAACCCTCCCCACCCCAAAAAACGTCCTGAAACAGATTGCATAAATAAATTATAAATATCTCTCTTTTAACTACAGGTCCTTAAAGAGCAAAACGTCGTCTCTAACATTTACAGGTAAGGAATGCAGCAATCGCTTTCCAAAATTTCAGGAACAGATCTGGTAGCTCTAAGAAAACGGCCACTTCCCCTAGAGGAGCGCAGCCCTCGCTACGGCACGGGGTCCGGGAGCGGGCGCGAGCAGAAGGGGAGCGATGCTGCAGGGCTGCATTTGCAGGAGGACTTCGCTAACGTGTCTCCTCGGACCCGTCCTGCCTCGTGTCACATTACGCATTCCCATCCAAAAAAAAAAAAAAACACCCAACAACAACAACAACAAAGATTGCAGTTTTCCTCCTTGGATACAATTTCCTATTTGGAATTTTTTTTCCTTGCGAGCAAAAAAATGAAAACAACAAAAAAAACCCCCGAAAATCCCAACATTAAACTGTCCTGGTGAAAGTGCGGTGTTGTGTGTGAGTGCAGTCATCTCCTAACGGTGTGAAGAAGAGGCCGTTGCAATCCCAGTTCACAGAACCCATGAGAGGTTTCTAGCCAAATCCCTTGGCTGCTTACTATGCATAAGAAGGGCCAACGTTAATCTCTCCGAGTACTCCTAAAACGCCCCAGAGTAAATCAGTGCTGGGGCACTTGGAACGTAGCTTGCAAAGTAGCAAAGCATCTTGGGATCCCCACCCCTTCTGGCAGATTACACCGTTAACTAATGAACGCTTACAATTCAGATTAAAATTCTATCAACCAGATCAAGTAGGAGGGTTATTGTGCATAGCTACTTTGTATTGAAAGCAAATCTTGCCCTGCTCTCCGGGGCAGGTAATTAGCTCTTACTGGGCAAAGCGAGCGGCACGGGGAACCTGCAGATCCAACCTCTGAAAAGGCTCCTGCGATCCCTGCTCTGTTCCCCCTAGGAATTTTCATCGGAATTGTGTAAGAGCCCATCGAGACAAAAGAAACTAATTTAAAGCGAGCGTGATTGTCTCTTGAAAAGAGCTGGTTACCTCCCACCGCATAGGGGATATTTCTGGCCTACCCCACACCATGTACTAAAATATCCTGGTTGACAGCTGAAAACTGTGAGGGAACTTGATTTGAACTGGGCAAATGATACTGGCTTGTCTGATGTTGGCTTCACAGTCAGCTGGGTAACAAAAGGGCTGGAGCACGTGCATGGCTGGCTGACCACCACACAGAAAGTACCGGAGAAACTTGGTCATGTAGCTACCAAAGAGAAATAAAAATAAGAAGAAGAATATGTATGGAAATCAAGCTTGGAAGTGTGTGCTGAAAACATAAGGGTCTTACTCCAACAAGCGTCTTTCACACATTAGACTCCACAAATGGTCTCTTTGGTTTGATTGGGGATGTCTGCCCTTGTCTAGAGTCCCTGGAGAGCTGCCTGTACAGGTTGTCCTGGTAGGCCTGTGCAACAGGCAGTGTCCTAGCCACCTTAACATCTGGATACGAGGAGGCTTGGGTGACTCTCTCCAAGAGGTCTCCTCGCGACCCATTGGCTAGCATCCCATGGGGGCTGTAATAGTCTTCCTCTAGCAAATGGCCGTTCTGTGCATTGTTGGTTTTGTTATAAAAGGCAATGTTGCTGATTGAAGAAGGCGGGCTAAACGATTCCGGCTGGGGGAGGTTGCCAGGAGACGTAGGACTAATAACAGTATCCACTGATGACACAGCCCAGGTCCGGTTCTGTTGGTGGAGATGGGGGTACTGCTGAGTCCGAGCGGTTTTATCTATGATTCCCATGAACGGCGTGGTCCTGGAACGGGCTGGCTCACTGGGGTAACCCCCCTGAGTTGGAGAGACTGGAGAAAGTTCATCACACGATCTGTCATAAGCTGGCTTCAGAGGAATCTCCATTTGCTGAATAGAAGCAGAAGGGCGAAAGTTGGGTGTCAGGTTGGAGGTGGATGAAATGCTATTGCTGGAAGGAGAGAATCTGAGGCCAACGCTTTGAGAATGAAGCAGTGGTCTTGGAGTTGGCGGGTGAGGCTTTATTTCACTGGGATTGACTGTAATGGGCCTTCTTATGAGATGAGACACATCTGGAGAGCCGAGCTGGCCGGAGGGAAGGGAAGAACGTTCCAGATCGAGCTTCGAGTGACAGACTGGATAATAGGAAGCTGACTGACTTCGACCGATCTGAGGCGTCTGACTGTACCTCATCCCACCCCTGTATGCTGAGGAAGGCCTCTGCGGAAGATCTTCTTTAGCCAGTCCTCCATGCTGACAAATTGCTCCTGCGCTGAGACTTGCCTGAACATGTTGCACTGGCCTGCTGTCGCCTACAATTCCACCGATTGATCCTTGATAGACCAGCCTACTCTGACTAACCCCTATCTCCCCTGATGCTGACTGGTATTTGCTGGCCATCGAGTGGGCAACTTGGCTGTAAGCACCAGTTGGAATTACAGTACTCGAATGCACTGCAGAGCTGGGCTGGTTGCTTCTCACAATCTGCGCCTTAGCTGGCTGCAGTCTCAGCCCTTGCTGGGGCACTGCAACGGGAAGCTGGGGCATCTGGAAAGACCGCTGTGTCATTTTGGATAACGGAGACTTTGGTCTACCAGGCAGTTGGCTGACACCACTGGGTTCTTGCTGATAGCGAACCGGGGAACCAGACTGTGACCTATAAACGCTCATGCTTTCTGCAGGGGGGCTGGCGCGATACTGAGGACCTCTACGAAGAGGGGAAGGTGGTGGACTTTGATACTCTTTCC